TGCGGAAACTTCTTGGTCTTCTACAACTATTTAGAAGCCAGCAGAATGTACAGAAATCTGTCAGGCTGGAACTTGTGCTGAGTCACGGAGGCCCACAGACTGTGGGAGGCGAGTGGAGTATGTGGATCCTGAGGAGACAGGCAGGCAGGCACTGGGAGCAGGCCACCCAGGGCCAGTGTTCAGTCTGTCCAGCAGCTGGTGGTACCTCCGTGGTGTGTGGGACTGAGTGCCTCACAGCCTGTGGGTGTGCAAGAGCCTGGTCCAACAGCTCAGGAGAGAGTTCAAAGAAAATAAAGTTATTTCATGGGAAATAGGTGCAGACCCATTGCTCATGAGACTGAATGATTGCTTTTATATATTTACTTTCTGTAGTCAGGGCCTATGAGCGTGCCCTGATCTGCTCTTTCTAAGGAAAGCTTTTGTGGTGCTCTGAATCTGAGCCGATTACCCAATCTCTCCTTGGGTGCTGGAGTCCAGAGAATGGCTCCATCGTCTGCTGGTTACAAAGCCAGGTGACTGAATCCATTCTGGGCTCTCACTTGGCTCTGACCTGCTCTGGGGTCCTGTCCCTTCCTCTGTTCTTTCACCCCTGTCGCCCCTGCATCCTTTCAGATGGTCCATCTCTCGCCAGACTTCTGCCCCACCTCCAGGGTGGCTTCTGTAGCCAGTCTTCCCGAGCAGGGTGAGGTCCTTTTAAAGCTCAGAACTGACTCTGAGTAGCTCATGCCCTCTGTCAAACCACCCCAAACTCAGCAGCAGCAGCAGGAGGAGGAGGAGGATACTTACCTGGCCCTTGGGTTCATAATTGGAGCAGGACACAGCAGGCAAGCATGCTTTGCTTCTGAGCACGCAGCATTGAAAGCAGCCTGGAGGTTGAGGCAAGAGGTCTCAGAATGAGACGGCTCCTTCATGCACATGTCACCGGAGATAGGGGATGTCTCAGTTGCTTGTCACACGAACACACCAGAGTGATCTCGTCCAGATGGACTGGAGTGGGCTTTCATGAGATGTGACAGCCCAGGTCTAGGGCAGGAGCCCACTTTGGACAGGCGATCTGCCCTTTATACCCCGGTGTGGGGAGTCACACAGTATTGTTTCTGTCACTGGAGTCGGACCCGCCAGACTCAGCACCTGAATGAGTCCCAGACTTGCATTGTGAGAGAGAGCGCATGTGGAATGGGGACCACTCTGCGAGCCTGTGGTGGGAATGTTGAACTACCGTTTCTGTGCACATCCATAGCCTTTGTGCTAAGGATTCTTCTGGAGCTCCCACTGCCTTGGAAGCTTCAGCCATGGCTACCATGCCCCTGCCAGCCTAGCCTTTCCATCTGCCCTTTGTCGTCCTCCACAGCTGGCCCCAAGGGTGAGTTTCTGTTTCCATCAACCCTGCAGCTTCACGGAGCTTCTGGGAACAGTGTTTTCTGTTCACGTCTCTCCTCGCACACTGGGTCTGACTCTGTTTTCTGTAAGGCAGGGTTAAGACTGAGGGGCCTCCACATAACGTCCCCATGAGATCCCGGCCTTCTCTTCTCCTTTCTTAATGGACATCCCCCACCCCCCACTTCCCCCATCCCCCGCCTCTGCATTGGCTTACACTGTTCCTGCTGCCTGGGGTCCTGCTGCCCACCCCACCCTCCCACCAGCAGCTCTGCTCACAGCCCCCAGGATCTGTTGCTTGCCCAGACCTCTACATGAAGCAGCTCCGAGCGGTGGCTGAGGCGAAGGTGCTGTGACAGATCTGTGCTCCTATCCAGCTCCACTGCCTGTCCGCTTTGTGACCTTGGATATCTTAATGCACAGGATGGAAGCAAGGATTCCCGAGGCGACCCAAGGACAGGGCCAAATACCCTGCCCGGTTTAAGTTGAGGCCCAGTGAGCGTGGGTGTTTCCTCCTTCCTAGAGGGTCCTGGTCAGTGCCCAGGGGTGACTTTCCTCACCTTCCTTTGGCTGAAGGAACAGAAAGGCAGCTCCCAGTTTAGTCGTGTGGGACTGCACATCCGGGCAATGACAAGTGTTGCCAAGCTCTGAGCCGAGGGCAGAGAAAGCTCTGCGGTGATTCCCCTGCTTGTGGCTAATAAAGTCCTGCCCTGCTTTGCTGCAGCGTGTCTGCGCGTCTGCGGGCTGGTGTTGGCAGGGAGACGGGGTGACCTTGAGGATGGAGCAGGGTGGGAGCCGGCTCTCTCTGGAGGGTTCCTGCAGGGATTAAAAGGCTGAGGTTTACCAGCAGTTTCTGCCCCTCCCCCGCTGCTGTCCCCAGGTGCCTGCTGAGTGCTCCCACCCCTCTCGGCCCTCCCTTTTGCCAGGACCTACAGCAGTGCCTAGTCAGGTCGATTTCCAGATGCCAGCATCTTCTAGCCAGGCCTGCTGTGGAGGGCAGGAAAGGGACAGGGAAGGGGCTTCTGCCCCTCAGGGTTAGGTGAGCTTGGTAGAGAACACCAGAAGCATGAACCGTGGCGCTCTTTCATTTGATGCCATGTTGGGGACCAGTGTGGGCGGACAGAGGGGATGTAATTCGCTCTACTCAGGCCTCCTGGGGGTTCCTGGAGACAGCCGTGGAGGACATCTTTCCCTGCAGCTCCCGGCATCTGGTAGCATTGCCATGCTTTGTGTCCAGAGCAGGGCAGTCAGTCCAGTCCCCTAAAGACTGTTGAGCCCAGAGACCTCAGAAGCCAGGGACAGGACAGAGACACTGCAATTCCACCCTGCCCAAGGTGGGGCTGAGACAAAACAAACCGACCAGAAATAAAAGTGCACAGACAAATGTTCTAAAGAGCACGATGGCCTGGGGAAGGGTGTGAAGGGGCACCTGGGCCGTCAGGAACTGTCTCCACCTAGAGGAGCTGGAAAATGTTTGGGGGATCCCAAGACATGGATACTTCTGACCAACTAGTCCCCAGTGCTCCTCGGGTTCAATAACAGACTCAGGAAAGCACTCCGAAGATTACAGTGGCGGGGATGAGGGGCAGTGGAGAGAGAGCTCAGTTGGTAGCCTGCCGTGCAATCCTGAAGACCTGAGTTTGGCTCCTCAGCACCACGTCACATGTGTGATGCCACACATCTAGAATCACAGCCCAGGGACGGCAGAGACAGGCAGATCCCTGGAGCTAGTCGGCCTCCCCAATCAGTGAGTCTAGGAGTGTCGTGAATACAGAATGGCTGGGCCCTCTCCCCACGGAATCACAGCCTGTCTACCCTCAGGGCACATCTGTGTGTTCACAACCCAGCAGGCTCCCCCACGAGCCTTTCCAGGGCATGGGTGTCTAGAGTTCTTACTGGGGTTTCACTGTGTAGACAGAGCTGGTTGAATGTTGTCCAGGTGTTGGAGCTCAGTCTCCAGGCTTCCTCCCTTTCCTGGAGTTTACATTGGCTCCAGACCCCACCCCTCTGGTCCTATAATGGACGGCTTCATCCCAAGGCCACTAGGGAGCCACCACCTCATTAGTATAGGCTCAGGTATAGTGACTAGGGCTTAGGAAAAACAAAGATACAATTCCCCCCCCCCAAAATGCCAATCCAAGCATATAATGTCCCCACCCCAAGTCAAGGAGGAATCCGTTTCTTCATTATACAAACTTAGTGCTGGTGGTTTCGTTTTTCTCCTCATCTGTCATTCTGGAAAGTACCTCAGCTCTCTGAAGTGACCTGATCTGCCTTCAGCCTTTCTCATGTACCTTTCTCTTTTAATCCTTACTCACTTCTGATTACATCCTCTGACTGCTTTGACATGTTATAAAGGGGTCCAGAGGAGTGGCGACCTCAAAGGTGACACAGCTAAAACGTGCCCCAGTGGGATTTGACCCCATCTGGGTCGGACTTGGGTCTTTTGACTGCAGCCCAATTCTGGTCTGCTGTTAGGGCCTCCTGGTCAGGTAACTGCCTCTCTTTCGCCAGTATGGGCTGTCAGCAATGTTACGTGTCTGTAGATTCAGACCGAGCAACGACCCTTTCCGGGATCATTGGGTTGTCCAGGCCTGTCCAGGCAGTGACTAGCCATGCCTCCAGTCCCAGTGTCTGCCATGGCCTGCTGGACATGGAGAGGACAGAACGGTGAGAGCTCATGGCCGCAGGCATCTTTGCCTTCCTTGTCAGGGATGGCTGTCTCCTGCCGCTCCCTTCTGTACCTCCCAGGACTGTGGCAGAGTCCTGGGAGGATGGAGGAGAGAAGTGCTCCATGTTGGAACCCAACAGATGTCCTTCTCTTATCCTCCTTCCCCTCCCAGATGGCTAGAAGTACAACAGTTGGCATTCCTGTCACTGCCATGTCCCAGGGGAGCTGCACGGGGTTGTGTCAGGAGCCAAAGCCTGCGGTTTGGGAAATTAGCGGCGTTTATGGGTCTCCCAAGAGACTCTTGGCCTCTTAACCATACTAGCATTTTTCAGTTGGGGACATTGCTGCCCCAGTTAGGGTGCTTACAGACATGTGGATAAGTCTGCAGTTGTCATAGTATCTGGGAATGCTCTTGTCATTTACACGGTGGGATCTAGGGATGCTAAGGGCCCAGCGTTGGGCTGGACAGTCAGGCACACTCCACTCCACTCCGTGGGGGAATAGGCTTGCCCTTGAGAGACAATAAGAAAGGACAGCTGCCTTCCCAGCCCCTTTGTCACTAATGTGTAAGCTGAATAAATGGGAAACTCTGTGAGCGGATGCCCCATGGTGAGATGGTGTGGCCCAGGGAACACGGGCAGCTATAAGAAGAGCATCCTGTTGGCCTTGAATGTCCTCTGGTACCCAAGGCCATGAGAGACCTGGACTTGGGTGTGGTAGGAATTGGGGAAAGGGTAGGTCTCCTTCTCCATGGTAACCTGGCATCTGACAAGAGTGCCTCTGGAGCTCACCTGGTGTAGACCCTCAGCACCTTGACTTGGGGTCTTTTTTCTGGGTCTGCTTCCTGCCTTCCTGTGGTTCTTATAAGCCAGTCTCTCTTTCAATTTGAAAGACCCTGGCCATCCGGCTTGTCTTCTTTCAGCTGAACATCTCTCTCCTTTCTGTCTTGCAGTCGGGAAGACGTCTCTGATCACGAGGTTCATGTATGACAGCTTTGACAACACCTACCAGGTGAGAGCCCCACACCCCCCCCCACCCTTCTCCCCTGCTTCTCATCTCTGCCTGGGGCTCCTGTCTGGAGACTACTGCCAGCCTGTCTCCAGGGACTGTGGAGATCAGAAGGGGACAACTCCAGGTTTCTTTTTGCTTTGAAGGAACTTCTTCACTAAGTACTGGGCCTATGCAGAAAATGATCTCAGAATCTAGATGTTGAAAAGGAGGCATTATTTTTTTGTTTTTAGGGAGAAATCCCGAAACCAGAGAGGGTTTGGAACCATTACAATGTTTGGTTATGTTGGGAGGCAGGCAGAAGAGTGCAGGCTGAAACCAAGAGCGGCCGCATGTCCCGAGTGCTTGTGTTTTGTTAGCTGGACTTTACATGCGCAAAACCCAGACTGCACATGTAGAGGCTCTCGTCACTCTCTAGAGGTGACATCAAAATCCTGAGGAGCATAAACATATCTGTTTGGTTTCAGTGATGGTGGTAGGGTTGTTGTACAATTAAATTTTCCTCATAATTCAAGTTTTTTGCCAAAGTTGTAAAACTTAGGCATTTCAACTATTCTTATATATTTTTAAAGTACCATTTTCCCCCTCTAGGATATAGACAGCTCTGCAGTTCATTTCTCTAGGTTGTGGGTCCTGTGGTTACTAGTGCCCAGACATGTTAGTAGGTAACACCTGAAAAGGGGAGGCTGGGTATTCAAGCAGAGCTGGGCTCTCAGCAAGACTTCCTCTGGCTTTGCTTCTCAGTGTGGGCCTTCAGCCTGCGGAAAGCAAGCACAGTGTGTTGGAAGAGGAATCCCTTTATCATCACATTTTCAAGGACAAGTATTTATAGATCCACTGGGGCAGCTCTTCCCAGATGTCACTCCCCACCGCTGGGTGTGGGACAGCACATCCATCATGCTTGAGATTCTGTGTCTGCTTGTTAGTCTGTCTTTACCCTGGCCCAGTGTCTGCTTGTTAGTCTGTCTTTACCCTGGCCTAGTCGTCCTTGTCTTAGATGCCCTCAGAGGGCAGCTTTTCTGTTTCCCTTGAGTTCCTTTTGCAGTGGGTGGACTAGAATCCTCCGTGTGGAAGAGTTGTCGGTGGGGAAGGAGACTCTGGGTGCTTCCGAGTGGTACACATGGTGCTGTGCAGGGCTCTAGGATGGCGATGTTGGCCCTGCTCTTGTGTCCTCTCCAAAACCAAGACTTGGTGTCACTTTGGACCTGCTGTGGCCTGTCCTCCCAGTAAGGGGAATTGAGCAGAGGTGACAACCCTTAGGGCCTCCCTCCTCAAGCCTCACTCTGTGCTCCGTGTGTGCCTGCACACATGCTCGTGTCTTATTTTTATTATTTGACCTTTTTTCCCTTTGGTTTTTTGAGATAGAGACTCATGTAGCTCCAGCTGGCCTGAAATCCATTGGGTAGCTGAGGGTGACCTTGACCTGAGGATCTTTCAGCCTGCACCACATCTGGCTACCGGTTGATTTTAAAATAATAAACATCTTCCTGATTTCTGTTGTCATCGCACTGAAAACAAAAACAAAAACAAAAAAAACCAGAATTTTAGCAGCAGTGGACAAGTCCCCTTTGAAATTTTGCTTCCTCTTCCCAGTGTTACCCTCACTGCCCCTGACTGTCACTTAAGTCAGCCCCGCTGCTCCCTGTGGAGCAGTGCTGGCCTCAGCTCCTGTCATTGTCTCCTCTTTACTCTGAAAATTCTTGTGATGCCTGAAGCCTGGGGCAAACGTTTGTCCTTGGTGCAGAGACCCTGCCACCTCTGTCAGCTCCTCATGACCCTCTGCCAGTAGCATGTCATCCTTAAGGCTAGTTGCCCTCCCCCCCAAATGTAGGCTGGCTACTCTGCCCTCCTGGTTTTCACCTGGGTCTTGGGATCTTCTTGGAGCCATCTCCATACAAGGCCTTGCCACAGATGCTGGCACAGTGGTAGCTGATTGCCTCAGTTCATCGGTGCTCTCGGGAGAGCCTCCCAGGTCCACTGTCATGGTGAGTCAGAGAGGTCAAAGGCTAGACGTCACTCTCTCCGTACATGGCAGAATTGTCTGGCTTGGTTTTTTTTTATAGCCTCAGGTAGAAGACTTTTCCAGAAGCCCTTTAGAGTAGTAGTTAGTCTGAGAGGCTGGGCTCCACTTCTACACATACACACACACACAGGCACACACACACACACACACACACACACACACATGCATCACACACAAGCACGCACACACACCATCAGTAGTAATGGATTCTCTGGAGATGTTTTTCCTAGCAGAGTAGCAGAGGTGTATGGGAAGTGGACAAAGTCTTTACCGGCTCTAGGGGGTGACATTTACTTCCTCACAGGTTGTCCCAGTGCACAGTGGCCATGCCAGTCACCCTCCCACCAGTATCCTGTCTGTCCAGCAGCCAGGACAGCATGGCAGAGTCTAGACCCGCTTAGACGGTTCCCAGACAGTGCTCCCTCCCTCTCTTCTCCCCTTGTCTCCAGGCCCCATACTCTCCACCCATCCCCGCACCCTGACAAAAGATGTCTGTGTGGTCCATGGTTTGTGGAAAAGGAGTAGGAGAAAGCAGTGAGGCTGGAGAGCTTGGCCCCCCTCCGCAGGGTATAGAGGACAGGACCCATCCTCAGGGACAGCCAGCTCCACCTTGGTCTGCGGCTCAACACGCATGAGGCTCTAAAGGGCCACCATGATGCTGTGAGCCTGGGGGGCTGGGGTCTTCTGTACCTCAGAAGGTTCTGTCTGCCTGTGAGCCCTTGGGGACACCTTTGAGGAACACATCTTTTACCTGGCAGTTACACACACATGCACACACACGAACATACACACACTCACGGGTGCACACACATACACACTCACACACACACAAACACACTCCATATCCTCTGCAGTCTCTCACCACCTTGCCTAATTACCCCACACAAAGCAGTTCACTGTGCAAGTGCAAAACCACTCCTCGGCCTGAGGAGAATTGTGACTAATTATTCCTTCATGCAAAATCCCAACTAAGAGGTTACCTTGAGTTCTGCGGTGGGAAAGATCTGTAATATCTGTGATAAGAATTGGCTCTGGGTGCCCCCACCACACACCCAGGAAACCCTTGTAGGCCCTGGGAAAGTCAGCCGCGTGAAGGAGGCCTGAGAGGAGGTGTGGTCCTCTGGAAGCAACTGCTGGCTGACCTTGGGGAATTAATGCTTTGTGGGGCTCTCTTTTCTGTCTGCAGATTAGGCAGCTCTGGGGGATGCCTGGGAGTTCCAGCCTTAGCGGTTTAAAAAACTGAAAAGTGATGGAGATGAACTTATAGCTGGGAGCCAGTGGCCCCTCCTGGAATTCACACCATGGTACAAGTTAGGAAACAACAGATCTAATGGGCTGCCTCTGGGAGAGGCCCCCTTGCTGAAGGGCTACTCTCGGAGGACACCCTGCTGTGACTGAAGGGGGAAGCTCTGGTCTTTCCTGCAGGCTGGGGCTCCTGAGGTGCCCTTGCCTACAGCTGATCCTCAAGCCATGCCAGGCTGTTCTGCCCTAAGGCTCCCCACACTGGCCTCTTGGGGCTGCCATAACAAATTACAGCAGACTGAGTAGCTTCAAACAATGGGAGTGTATTCTCTCATCACCTTCCTGGAGCCTGAGGGTGGAACAAATACAAGGGGCCACGCCCCTTTCAGAGGCACTAGAGGAAGATGCCCTCGCCAGCTTCCAGCAGTCCCAGATGCTCTTTGTTGTGAGGCTACAAGGTTCTCATCTGGTGTCCCTCTTCACAGGATCTGAGGAGATGTGGCTGATAGATCAGTGTGGATTTGCCTCTGGGCACTTGAGGTGGAGTCAGTGCCCCTCTATCCTCTGGGGCAGGCTCCTAGCCACCAGGGGGTCACCTGGTACCCCACAGCCTTGGGTTTTATCCCTGTTTCCTTTCTGTGTGCTCTTGCTATGGCCACAGATATCTCTCTCTCTCTCTCTCTCTCTCTCTCTCTCTCTCTCTCTCTCTCTCTCTCTCTGACACAGTGTACTAACTGGTCTCTTATCTGACAAGCTATGCCTCCTCTTCTAGGTGAAATATACACACACATGCATGCACGCACTCATGCATGCACACGCCCGTGCAGCATCCACACTCACAATGCTGGATCCTGACACCTCAGCCTTTCTTGGGTCCTTCTGCATATACTCCCTCGTCCCTCCACTGGGGCTGCCTCCTGCTCATCTCCCACTTGCTCCCCTCTTTTCTCCAGGAAGCCTTCCTGCCCATACAGCAGCCATCCATCGCTGGCTTGTCTGCACCACACACCCAAGGGACCCCGCCACTAACACACAACTTCTTCACAGGCTCAGCCGCTAATGCAGGTGGGGGAAGGGCTGAATGGGAAAGGACCTGGATGGCAGCCGTGATATTTCTCATTTCTCATGATGTGTGAGCCCCATGTCCACTCAGGGACAGGGTAGCAAGCTGCTTTCTGAATTAGTATTCTCTCGAGGAACAGAACCTATAATTACGAATTGGATGGGCATTCTTCATACAGAGGAAAGCAACTACCCGAAGGGGACAGATTGTGACATTGAAAGGCTAGGTGCCTGCCCTGTGACCTTGGGAGCCAGCATCGCCTCCTCTTGGGTACTCATGAATAGCCACTACTGGCCACGGTTGGCAGCGACCTGGCAGTGCATGGTTCCCAAAAGCTTTGGGATCCTCCCCACAAAGCACCCGCTTGCCAGGCTGAATCTTTAAGTTTACCAGGCTCATTTGCATGCTAATTTGCATGACTTTACCCAGATACTTTTCTCTGATGGTTGGTTGTGCAAAAGGAGAACAGCAGAGTCATTGTCAAGGGCTTGTCATGCCCAGCTGCTTCCTGTCATTTACGGATGCTTCTCTCCAGTCCTGGGCTCGGGCCTGGCCAAGACTAAAAGAAGACACACATCCTTGCCTTTCCATTCTCTTCCCCAGAAGAAACGCTGAAGTCAATTTATGCAAATTGCCATGCAGATTTCCTCTGTAGACTTTATTGCTGTATCTTGT